TGAACATAGAGGTCTTCAAGCCCCAATAGTTAGCAATATGCTTGATGCGAGAATGCTAATCGTATAGACAAGACAATAACAGGAGACTGCCTATGGGCAAAAATTGAAAGAAACAAAATCTTTTCTTCTCTAAGACAAAAAAGGGATATTACAGCATTACAATCCTTAACATCAACTCCAATCAGATCTAAAGCCTGGCCAACAGAATGGAAACTATACCTGGCAGCTTGAAAAAAAATTTAGAAGAAAATTATAGCTAATTATAGTTGGCCCTGGCAAATAAAAGACTTTAAAGTTGACAAAAAACAAAATATAAACTTTACAGTAAAAAATCTAATAGGAATCTTAAAGAAACAAACAATTGCCCAACAAATACTATACTTTCAACAGATATCAAGATAGACTGGCTATTCACGAAAGTAGCTAACAACAAGAAAAAAGATATATTATGGCGTATGTACTATAAGGCCCTTCCTTTAGGATATCGATTACAACACATATCAGCAACAGAGTCAGGAGACTGCCTCTGGTGTCCAGATGAACTTCAAACAATAGAACACTTTGCACTTGAATACAATATAAGTAAAAGAATTTGGAACGAAGCTTACAAGCTTCTAAATATTAAAGAAATATCGATCCCATCTTCAATTGAAGAAATCTTCACAGCAAGTAACCTCAAAGATTTAAAGTATTGTAAAGCAGCTCTTTGGCTTCATACGAATACAATCTATGAAATTTGGTGCTGGTTTACATTACATAAGTGGGGAAACTCAATATCACCAGAAACAGTAATACCTACATATATTAGAAACCGTATCTCCAAGAAGATAAAAATAATAGCTTCAAATCTAAATAGTAATCCAAAGATAAACTCTATTTGTAAATATCTACAATATATATAAATGTAAAATAATTTATAAATAAAAGAGCGCCACATGCGCCCGAAGATGGTTACATCATCGATATAAAAAAAAAAAAAGATTAGATCAAAATTATATAAAAAAAAATTTTTTAAAAAATTTTTAAAAAATTTTTTTTTTATATAACTTTTGATCCAATCTTTTACTTAGTAAAATGTTTAAAAAAAACAAAATTAGCAAAATACAAAGTATATAAAATTGTGTGCTGAACAAATTTGCTTAAGAGGTCAGAACAGGTTATCTAAGCAGAAAAAAAGTTTTATATAGAAAAACTAAAAATTTTGATATTAGTATATAGAAAACTTTTTTTTACTAAGATAACCTTTTTGACTTCTTAACTGAAGTTGTTCAGGATATAATTTTACATATGATTATTGTTTTAAAACTGTTAAATTTTTTCTTTTAGCTAAGTTATATTTTTAAATTATACAAAAATTGCAAAATTTTAATTTAGTTTTGAAAGCATTTTATTTTTTTCTTTTTGATATATTTATTCGTAAAATTTAATTTAAAGTTAATATGTAAAAAAAGAAACATCTTGGCTTCAAAGTTTATAAATAATTCTATATATTTTTGCTATAATTTAATATATACAAAACACTCTATATATAAAATTTATAACAAATCAGGTGATTGTTAAATAAAAAATATTCTTTTAAGGGCAGTGTTATTTATTACCTAATTATTTTTTATCAGAGGCTTATCTCTCTCCCTTCTTAATATAAAAAAAATTAGGTTTTTATATATAATTTTAACTTTTTTTACCACCCTAAAAAATCACCTAATTTTTGTTATATCTCTAATCAAAATAGCTCTAGTTTTATAGAACCAAATTAGTGATTATCTTAATAAAATTTTAAGAAAATAGCCTTTAGAATTATAACTTTTTAATTTTTAACTATTTATAAATAATTTCAAATCAAATCAAATATTTGATCTTTTAATTTGAATTTGATTTGATTTGAAAATCAATATTTAAATTTGATTTAAAATCAAATATTTGAATCAAATCAAATCAAATCTGAACCTCTAATGTTTACTATTAAATTAGAAAATAATTTAATTATGAGACTTTAGTTGTAATATCTATTTGAAAGTATATTTGTGACTTATGTGAATAATATAGAAATATATATAAAATACTAATAAAAATAGTCAGAAATACAAAAATTCTAGATAAGTTAAAATAGGTATAACCTTATTAGATAAAGATTTGATACAAGAATAAATTAGTTCTAATCTAATATAACATTAAAATAATATGTTGTAACTATAATTATATAGTTTATTTAATAAAGTTATAGCAAAAAAGTACTTGCTCTTTAAAAAAAAAAAAAATAATAATACTATATATTACTATAATAATGTTATGAAATAATGCTATATAATACAATTATAAATAATATTTAAAATTAGTAATAAAGCTAAATAATTATTAATATATTGATCTAGAATAATGTATATTCTTGTGTAGTCTTGGTTCAGACTCTGTCACATTAAATGAACTAATAATTAAATAATAAAGCAAATATTGCTTTAAATAAAATTTTGTAAAAATATATTGTAATTTAGATGAAATTTTATTAGTAATTTTTAAATAAATTTTTTTTTTTTTTTTACTTTAGCAATTCTATCTTTATTTTATTTATTGGAAGTAGATTACAAAATGCTCTTAGCTAGCTAGGCTTATATGCAAATCACTAAACTACTATATTTCTGTACAAATAAAGATTCTCTCGATCTGTCTTATTATTGCAGTAAAACTATAGCTGGAGTCAAAAATTTTACGCTAGAGTATAACCCAGGAGTGACCTGCCTAAGTGACAATTTTTCTTCTTCTGGGATCCTTAATTTACTGAAGACATGAGCCTCAAATATCAACAGATAGAAGTACTAACCTTGTCAGAATCACCATTCTACAATAGAGTGTTGCTAATTTGATAACACTTGCTCGTAAAAAAGTAAAAAAGAAAAAAAAAGGGTAAGAGCAAAACAAAAATAGAGAAAGTAAAAAAGAAGACAAATAAAAAAATGACCAAAATATGAAAGAATCTAAAAAACTATTTTAAAATCCAAAAGAACTTGTTTACAGATATAAAAACCTGCTAACCAGATAAAAAACTATCTATATGATCATAGAAATCTATATATAGAGCTATCTGACAAAAAAAAACTATAAACTAAAATGCACTTTAACCTGTACTAAGAGCTAAAAATTATATATATATAACTTCAGAATATTGTATATCTCTATTATATTGCTCTAGTTTACAACTCTTATGAAATCTACTTCGAATTCTACATGATCATTAGTTCTATTTATACTGAGCTGCTCTTTTCGAATTACAAAATCCTCTTACAGTTTTCATAATACACCTTGCTTCTTTGCTATATAAGATTAAACAGAGAGTCTTCCCTATAATCTACTGGCATCATTGAAAGCTACTCTCTTGGATCCGTCATATAAGACTTTTATTCCTATATAATCAAAGCTGATCTAACACAGGACTTCCACGTATTTCAATTTAACTTAAATAGAACTTTCTCCTCATATATGATTATTATATTTCTTATTCATCATATCGTAACTTGAGACTTTCTGAAAATAGAAATATAAACAATGCCAATTTTTTGGAGAATAGTAGCCAAATCCCCCACTTTTTGTTGAAAATTATGAAAAAAACAATGAAAGAAAAGTGTAGTTTTGCAAGATTTCTAACCAAGGAGTATTGTTCCAAGAGTTCTTCATAGCCTTCTGTTTTTAAACTAACTTGAGTCCTTTTTTTACTTACTGTTCCCAGAGACTTCTCTGGTTTAGATGCCGAACACAAAAGAGAGTTCATCTGAGAAAGCAAAATAATGAGACTTGACCCCTTTGCAAATCATCCAAAACACCTGCTTCTTAGTATATCATATTCAAGATTTCGTTGACAACAGTTCATATTAAGAGAACTTCAAGTTATTTGTTTACTTCTAGTCTTGAGTCTTTAACTTGCTTTCAGAGACTAGTTGGTACAAGTGATCATTAGGAAGAGTTGATTTAATAGGCCCATGTGCTAAATAAATATTTTTTCAGTATATTCTGTTACTATTTTATTAAAATATAAATTAAACAAAAATTACAAGAACTTTAACTATAGTTATCATATGAGTCTTATATAACAATCTGTGCTTTTTACGGTTACTTATTGCACAAGTCTATATAAAAATTATATAATTATTAAATTCATATGATTTTCATATAGACCCATATGAATAAGCAAAAACTAATACTTTTAAAAATATAATTACATATTGTATAAACATTAATTTAAATTTTAACTGCAATACAAAAGCAAATATTTTTTAAATTGTTAATTGCAGAATATATTATTTAGATTATAACTAATTTTTACCCTAGGTGATATCACCTGGTATTATAAATTTTTTATTACAAGTAAAATAAATTTAAGGTTAGGAATTAGGGTTGGCTTTAGGGTTGGCTTTAGGTTAGATTAAAAGAGTCTAAATATATGTAAAATTTGATATTGAAAACTTTTGCTTAGAAGCCAGAGCATAGTTTTTATAATAAAATCTTGAGTTATTTGAGTTATTTGGTTTTTTTTCTTTTCTTTGCTTTGTTTTAGTTATACAAGATCTGGTGATCTGATTGGTTTTTATACCACTAGATAATATCACCTAGGGTGAAAGTTAGCAATAGTCTATTATTTATTGTATAATAATTAAACCTACTACAGGATTACACTTGAATTAATTATTGAAGAAAATTTTCAAATTAATATCAATTGGCTTGCTAGTATTGGGGATTTGAAGGATGATATTGCTTGTAATTTGTTGTAATACTTCTTGTTTTTTATTATGTGTAATCGGTATTTGTTTATGACTATTATCATTTGTATATCTTGTTTCATTTTCTTCTGTTTGCATCACTTGTTCTTTATTTTTTACTGATATTGTTTGTTGATTTTGTTTGTAAATTCATGAAACTTTAAAAGAAACCATAAGTTTTGGATTCAATTTGAAAATGTATATTTTTTAAAAAGAAAACTTTTATCTAAAAAAAAAAACTATCAAATACAGTTAATATACAATTAATTTAAAAATAATATAAATACTTAAAATTTTCGATTGGCTTGAGTTTGATATAATATTGGAGTTTGCATTTAACATAGTATTTGAGTTTGTAGTATTAGCACCAGAATCTTGAATTTTTATCTCATTATCATTATCTAAAGATAAATAATTTTAAATTAATTATTTAAAAATTTTTTTAAATATTATACTAATAATACCTTCATAGTCATCAGATTCATAATTAATATAATGATATGAATCACTAAGAAAAGAATAATAAGACTCAAGATCCTCATTATATGCTATATAAAAAATTAGTAATGCTGTAGATGACAAATGCTGATCATTAGTCAGACTACTGTAAAATCAGATACCTTCTTGAGAATAATATTCTGAAAATATCATCACTTCATCTAAAACATCAGATGCTTTGAGTATTATTATATTTATACGATAAGCACTATGATTAGTAATTTTTCGCTTGCTATTGAGGTTTATTCCTGTATTAATAGCAATTTGTTGTAATATTGCTTTCAATTTATTTGCATCCATACCAATAGCTTTGTATCAAATTCTATTAGTTATATCTAAAAATAATAAATATATTTTTAATACAGTAACAAAAAAATAAAACTTATATAATATATGTAAAAATAAAGAATCAGTGATAACACATTTAAATGGTCACTTTAACAGATAAAGGAAATCTGCAATTAGTATAAAATAATTATTCTTTATATTAGATAGTATTAGAATAGTTCATGTTCCTGTATGTCCATATCTTTGTCTATATAGCACCCCATCCTGATTATTCTTTTCTTGCTAAAATCTCAATTGTAATCTACTATTTTCTTATCTTTTAAGATCTTGAAATTCTAGTTTGTAAGTATTACCATTACATAATCCACAAAGTATTGATAAACAAAAAAAAATATGTCAAATTAGCCCTTTATTATTTTTGATCGATAGGTAATTATGGTTTAAACATAAAATAATTTCATCTGATATCAATAAGTCACTTTTATCTGTATCACCATAGCCATCATCCTGTAATAATTTCATTTTTCTATCCAAGCAATGTAATAACTTAAGAAAAGAGTATTTAACCCAGATTCGAACATCTCCTTCAATCTTTGAATTTTCACAGAAGTGTCTTGCTAATACAAAATAGCAGTATTGTTATGGGACAGTTGTAGACAGTAAGTTTAAACACTTTAGACAATTTTGAACAATTAAATAAATTAAAATTACTCAAAATTTTATTAAGATAACCTATATTAATTTTT